GACTTGTTACCACTATGCACAGGACTTTACTCATCAGCTCGACGGTTCATGCCTAACTTGCAGGCTATTAGCACGTTTACCATCTTTTATGCTAACTATGTGTAGTTCAGCTTCCCAGCACCAAAATTTTTAAGTAACTACTTATGCCATCTTATTATGATTTACGTTTTCTCACCATTTTTGCTCTAGAAACTGGTTACTTCTCTAACATCATTCGAAGCTACCAAATGTTCTACAAGGGGTAGAGCCTTCGACCCAGGTACCCGGGTGTTCCAAAGCACTGCTCTACCAGGAGGCAAATTTTCTTTTCACATCTTGTTTCTGTGACACTTTTTACTGATATTCTTACTTCCAGGATGCCATATTAGAAGGCAAGTGGCAAAAAGTATAACAGCAGTGAATGGAATGGAATGGCAAATTTTCATTCCTGATCACTGTAGCCACAGGACAATTTTAAAATTAAATTTAAAAGAAATTTTTTGTAACCACCAAAAATATCTGCAATGTGCATATATACATATATATTATTTAGCTTTAAAATATGTTGTAATCTGTGCAATTCCGCAAAATAATGATAATGCAAAATATTCAACAAATACATGCCATTTTGTTCAAGATCATAACTTATGATAAAAAATCCAACTCTTCCTTACCAGTTTTTAGGCATTTAATAAATATTAATAAGTTAATGTTTTGATTTTCAACTGCAAACTCTATAATACTGTTACTCAGATAACAATGCAACAATATGACTTAAAACACAGTTTTCATATGCACAATTTTTCCATTATAAAAGTAACAAAATATCTAGTCAAAAACTTCTCCACATTTGATCTTTTCAGTAAACTGGCTTGCAAATAGTAGGCATAAACGCGTGTTATACACACATCAAATGTTACTTCTTATATTCAGCACATATTCCTATCAATTCCTAAATGTAATTGTTAGGCATGATAAATAAATCACTTATATTATTGTCTTGTAAATTATAATAAGAAGATGTTCATATAAATATTTGCATTCATCTCTGTCATTTTATTGTTATTTAAGGACTTTACACAAATATTTTAACATAAGAAATTATTGGAACAGTGTTATAGACTGATAAAACTAACTTTGTGTACTACAGTCAAAAGTCGTTAATTCGGACACACATAATCCGGACCTCAAAGCTACAAACTTTCTGCGCATGTGTCACATTGACGCATGCGCATAGGCATTTACGCATGCGTGTAAGACCTTTACGTCTGCGAATATGTGTATGCGCATGCACGTTTTATGTATAACGGACGGTATAAGCTAAACTAAAAGTTATGTAACTCAGTTAATGTTGCAGATTGCGTTGTTCCTTAATCTTCGAATTGGATCTGACTTATTATTTTTTTGCAGACTGTTAGAGCAATTTTATAAAAGTAAGCTTGAACTTTCGATTATCTCAAATAGAATTTCCGATATATATTTACTAATATGTAAAGGATCTACAAAGCGAAAGTGTGTTTCGAAATCCATTAAACAGAAAGTGGAATTGCTGCAAAAAATGGATAAAGCCATATCCTTTGATTATCTAATCATTCCGAAATATGTTTATCAATTTCACACTGCTCTACGGGGGGAGGGAAACGACATGGCGAGCAATGAATTGGAAGTTGATCTGTCAGCACTATCTTTATCTTCAGCGCAGATGTTTTTATTTTATTTGGCTTATAATTCCTCACTAAATGTAGTATTTCATCTCGATGTACTCTGTCTTTGATATAATTTAAATCAAGTTCCTCGTCATTATAATTTGCTTCCAATAGTGAAGAAAGTGACACAGAGGTTGTTGAAAATGAAAAAACTTCGATTGACAAATTAGTCGGTATTCTCGACACAGCAATTATAGGACTTGAACAGCGGAGCTTTGTAACTAAACAAGAAATTATGTCTGTTTAATAAGTATTATCACATGAAATGAAGCAGCTTAAACGACTTACATTGAAAGAAATTTTTAATAAAGTAAACAAATAAATATTAAGCTTTTTCTTTTTGTAAATTTTGATACCCTTTAGATCATAATTGTTCTTTATTTCATAAATTACGGTTTCATATTTTTAATTTTATAATTTCTGCATGCCATCTTACCAGATTTAAACTGATGATCTATAATCCGGAAAAATCGATAATCCAGAATCGCCGAAGTCTCGACGAGTCCGAATTAACGACTTTTGACTGTATATACTGTCACTCTATAAATGTATCTCATTGTTGCAGTTTTATTCCCATTTTCCCTTGTAATATATTCTCACATTCCCAGTGAAAATACTTTACCTGTTTCATTTGAGACACAAATTCAAGGTATTTTCATGGAATTAACCCTTAAGGTAATTTTTAATACAAATTATATTTGTAAATAAACGGAACTTCTCATTCACCGTTTCAAGTTATGATAATAGGTTGAAAATTCTTTATTTTACTTTTAAGTAATTTTGGTATGTTGTGGTTTTTATATTGTGGTTTTTTTCTGTGACAGCAGTCAAAATTATGAATATAAATTGTTACATCTTTTTTTTTGTATATTTAAAATTCTACTGTTTTATTTTTCTTTATTTTTTTTGTTTGTGTATTTGCTGAATTTTATATAAAGTACTGCTATGGATTTTATCTGTATCAGCTTTTTTTTTTTTTCTTATTTATGGTTTAGACTTTGTTTTTAAATGTACATAATGAATTATTGTATACAGTCATTTTTTTTATTTTTAGTTTGTTGGGTTTTACTCAAATAGCATTAAGCCATTTACTTTTTGTATGGAAAAATCTAATTTGAAATGCCGATAATTTGCTTAGATGAGGCAGACTTTTATTCAGGTAATATATTGCTACTTTGGTGATATAATTTTCTGAACTATACGTAAGCAGAAAATGTGCTGAATTAATGCGCAATGTCATCAAAAATTATTTATGTGGCAATTTAGATATGCATGTAGCATCAGCCCAAATGGCTTCGTAACTCTGTGACAATAATTTCCTCAGCATTTTTTTTTTTTTTAAGGTTTTTTTTGAAAGTATACACGTGCAATTGCAAAAAAAGTAGAACGTAAATTACTGGAAAAAAAAAGAAAAAAAAACCGAAATCATATAGATTGGCTCTTTTAACCATCTCATGTTTCCAATCTCTTTTAAGAAACTCTTAGTGAATTCCTCAACACTCGCACTTCAAAAACATTAGTGAGGTTTCCTCAAAAAATTTAAATAAATTTCCTCTGACGCTATTAACAATTTATAAATAAATATTTGATTAGGAAGACAGGTTGGCCAAAAATAAGGTCTCAAAGGGCAATTTTTTTATTCCAATACCAATAATTCTTGGTAATTACCAATACAACATTCATCTTCAAACGAAGATAATTCATTCCATTTGAAATCTGACGAATTCGAAGAGATGAATAAAAAATTTTAAAATGGCGCGGTAATGCACAAATAGCAGTAAAATCAGGGAGCTGATTACAATCGCAGAAATTAAAATTATTAAATAATCATTCATAAAATATTTTTAAAACAATGCCCCAAAAAAAAATTGTATTTTAATATTTAACAGCCATAAATAATGTTTAAAACATTAGATTAAATTTATAGATATTAATAAAACCAATTACTTTTTAAGTTTGATGATGTCATTGATAACATCATCAACAACTTAAAATTATATAAAATATTAAACAAAAAATTTTTATTTCAAATAAAAATGTAAAATTAAATTGATTTTTAATATTTAGAAGCCATAAATAATTTAAAACACGGAAGTTTATGCATAATAAAACGCATATTTTTTTAAATAAAATGACAACAAAGTATCGGTTACCATAAATAACTTATCCAGCAATGGGTTTACCATAAGTTGTATTACTCGCCAAACAATCGCCAAAATTCGTGCAACCGTCTACCAAAGTAGCACCTTTACAGCAAGCATTAATTCCTTGCTGCTTGCTATAAATACAGTACAAAGTACTTTAATAGGATACTTTTGAAAAATGACAAACCAAACCTTCAAATAAATCTTGTCTGTATTTATAACTAAACAGTTGTATCTTAATTTATGCATATAAATTTGCACAAAATGCTGAACTAGTCTGTAGGTATATTACATTCAGTTATAGAGAATATCATGAAAAATATATTAAGTAAGAGCGACAATATACTTACATGGATAAATTTTAAAACTTACTGACTAAATATTAAAATATCTAAGCATGAGGTGTAATATTTAAAATAATCCTGAATTATTTAATTATCATAGTATTTGCAAAACTCCTCCCATACTTCCATTTAACACATATATTTACTAGAATTAAGGGGGTAAAAACATTTAAATTATAAAATTTGAGATATTTATAATCAAAAAATTCTAAAATTTTTAATATAAATATCTCAAATTTTAGAATTTTTTATTTATATCTTCATAAATTCTTTTTTATTACCTATTTCACACTTACGACAGTAAATAAATTATAAAAAAGCATTTATGGTTATAATTTAAAAAAAATAAGGTTTATTAAATAAAAGACACAGGTTGAAGTACAGCAAAGTTACTTCAATAAATTCCATGAAATAAAATTTCACCTGGCCAATTTCTATGAGTAAAATTGAATCTGGCAAATTTTTATGAAAATCCTGCAGTACAAACACCTGTTGTGGATTCTAAAAAACTGTGTTCCTTGGATTAAAACCATAAACATTGTGACCTAAGTGCCAAATATTGCTAATATCTTTTCAGTTCCATTATTAAGAAAACCATCTGAGATAATTTTTTTATGCTTCAGATACTTATAACGATAACATTTAATGATGTTTGAATATTGTAAAAGTTGCAAGTGAAACTGAGACTTTCGTTTTTCTTTTGTACATAGATGTTCCGGCTTATAAAGTGTGTATTTTTGCAAATTAAAAATTAAATTTCTTTGAATACTGGATAAAACACTAAGAACAGTTTTTAAACAAATATCTACTATATTTCAGTTTTTTACCTGCTTGAAAATGATATTTCCGTAGTGACTCATTCCTTCAAATTTCTTCTTAGGTACTTCACTCTCATCAGTTTGCTTTATTTGGTCCTGGATTGACTGAATATATTTTTCTTTACCAGTATAATATGTTATACCACTATCCTGGCTTTGTGAATGTCACTTGACACATTTCATATTGAAGCTTGATAGTAATACTGAGAATAATATTTGCCAATAATACCTCTACTTAGCTAAAAAGGATGTTAAAAAAAAATGGAACTATGTAATTTAACTGCAGTTCTTTGGTATTTCATCACAATAAAACATATACGGGATTAAATATTTAGCCATGCTTCAGAATTCAGTATCAGAATTATATCAAAGTGGTTACAAGCATATGATTAACAAAATGCATTTTGGTAAGTCACAAATGTAACACTGAACACGAGTTATACAAAAACTGTGAAAATTAGAACCCAGCATCAAGCACTCAAATTTGGGAAAAGGTGAAAGAATTGCAAAACACATCAAGCAGATTCTAAATAAGAGCTGTTCAATCAAGTTTGGTATAAACAACTTTAGGCCCTTTAGGACAGGATAGTAGCAAATGTAGCTTCAAGTTAGTAGTTCTATAAGTAACCATCTACTCATAGAACTGTTACTCATCTGTTACGTAAAAAACACTCGATATATATCCTGCACAAATGAAGTTTTTTTTGTTTTGTTGTTGTTTAGAAAGAAATAAATGGTTTATTTCTTACTTGTATCAAATGACAATTTACAAACAGCACACAGGGTCAGCAGTACCTGTTATATCACATGTTCGAATACCTTTAAATCTAAAGTTCTACTACTGAACGCCTCTCTAAATTCCAAGAATTTTTCTACCACTAAATACTGACATCTGTTGAAACTCACTTGTCGTCAAAAAAAGAACTCTCTTTGCTGCTGGACAAATCATTATTACACTGATAATGAAAGTATGATAATAATTTAACATCTCCTCAAAAGGTAGAATGTTTCTCTTCTTGTGTGCTTTCTTATATGTCTTCAAATTATTCTACTATCCAAATGAATTGTTACATACATAATATGACATATTTCTCTCTTCTGTGGATATGCATATTTTACTCATCCTTTACTAAAAATGAATTTTTACATACTTCATACTTCTCTGCTCTGTGAGTATGCACATGCCTGTTAAATTTACCTTTCTGACTAAATGATTTCTTACATTCCTCACAAGGACATTTTACAGATGAGGACTTTCTCCTGTGTGAGTAAGCATATGAGTATCTAAAAAACTCTTTTGAATAAATGACTTCTTACATACTTGACAAACATGAGGCTTCTCTCCTCTGTGAATACGCATATGACTATATAAATGAGCCTTTTGTCTACATGACTTCTTACATACTTCACATGTATAAGGTTTCTCTCCTGTGTGAATAAGAATGTGTCTATTTAAATAAAGCTTCTGACTAAATGACTTCTTACATACTTCACAGATATAAGGTTTCTCTCCTGTGTGACTAATAATATGTCTCTTTAAATAATGCTTGTGACTAAATGACTTCTTACATACTTCACACACATGAGGTTTCTCTCCTGTGTGAATAAACATATGCGTGGTTAAAGCCTCTTTACGACGAAATGACTTCTTACATACTTCACACACATGAGGTTTCTCAACTGAGTGAATAAGCATATGATCGTTTAAAATGTCCTTAACCCTAAATGACTTCTTACATATTTCACAGATATAAGGTCTCTCTCCTGTGTGAATACGCATATGATTCTTCAAAGCCTGCTTGTGTCTATATGATTTCTTACATACTTCACACATATGAGGTTTTTCTCTTGTGTGAGTTAGCATATGAATCCTTAAAGAACTCCTATGTCTAAATGACCTCTTACATACTTGACATAAATGACATTTTTCTCCTGTGTGAATAAGCATATGGCTGTTTAAAGACCGCTGCAGGCAAAATGACTTCTTACATACTTCACACACATGAGTTTTCTCTCCTGTGTGAATAAGGATATGATACTTCATATAATCCTTGAGGCTAAATGACTTATTACATACTTTACACACATGAGGTTTCTCTCTTGTGTGAACAAACATATGTCTATTTAACTCAAGCTTCAAAGTAAATGACTTCTGACAAACTTCACACACATGAGGCTTCTCTCCTGTGTGAAAAAGCATATGACTTTTCAAATAACCCTTCTTTCTAAAGGACTTCTTACATACGTCACACATATAAGGTTTTTCTCCTGTGTGAATAAGCATATGAGCATCTAAACGAGGCTTATGACTAAATGACTTCTTACATACCTCACAGACATGAGGTTTCTCTCCTGTGTGAATAAGCAAATGAGCATTTAACTTACCTTTGCTAATAAATGACTTCTTGCACACTTCACACACATGAGGTTTCCCTCTTGTGTGAACAAGCATATGTCTACTCAAATAAAGCTTCTGACTAAATGACAACATGCATACTTCACACACGTGAGGTTGTCCTTTTGTGTGAATACGCATATGAGCAGATAAATTACCCTTATGACTAAATGACTTCTTACACACTTCACACACATGAGGTTTCTCTCCTGTGTGAGTAAGTATATGACTGGTTAAACTAGACTTAAGACGAAATGACTTCTTACATACTTCACATACATGAGGCTTGTCTCCTGTGTGAATAAGCATATGACTGTTTAATGTAAACTTGTGTTTAAATGACTTCCTACATACTTCACACATGTGAGGTTTCTCTCCTGTGTGAATAAGCATATGAGTGATCAAAGAACCCTTCTGACTAAATGACATCTTGCATACTTCACATGTATGAGGTTTCTTCCCTGAGTGAATAAGTATATGAGTGTCTAAATTACCCTTCTGACTAAATGACTTCTTACATACTTCACACATATGAGACTTCTCTCCGGTGTGAGTAAACATATGCTGCTTTAAATTATACTTTCGAGTATATGACTTCTGACATACTTCACACACATATGAAGGCATGTCTCCTCTGTTAATTAGCATATGCTTGCTTAAATTGGTGGTTTGTCTGTGAAAAAGAAAATGCTAGTCTAACTTAATAATTTAACTAAATGTCTTCTTACGCACTAAACTCACATCAGGCTTCTCTCCAATGCGAATTAGCATATGCTTGTTTAAATTACGTTTTCTGTTAAATAAACTCTTAAATTTCACACACGAGGTTTGTGTTCCGTAAGGATCTGCATGTGCTCTTAAAAATGATTTATACACATCTCCCAGAACATGTAAGTCTGCACTAAATTAGTAACTTTTTTTGAGTCGAAATCCATCTTCGTTTAATATACAATTTATTTCACTTTACGAACACATACAGACAAACGCACAATGATCAGGTGATCCGTACATCTTTAATGACGGAAAAACATTCAGTATTTCAGTAACCTAACTTGACTGCTACTCACTTAAGATGCAAGAAATAAACTACAGAATGCCATTAATTACATTTCACCCTGGTTTAAAGGATGGAAAATTAAAATTAACCCCGAAAAATCAAAAGTGATTTACTTTAAAAAAGAAATATCCCTCAAGACTTAGAAGAAATTACAATGGACGGACAAATCGTGTCACGTGACCACCAAGTAAAATATCTTAGGTGTTTATCTCCGACCAGAAATTAACTTTCAAATTTCACGTTGATTATATCAGAGACAAAGCACAACATGCCTTAATGAGCATATTACCCTCGTGAATGTGCAAATATTCGCAAGTTAAAGATCAACGCTAAAGGAACACTTTATCTACAGGCAATCCGACCCATAATTCTATATGCCGCTCCGGCGTGAGCAGCTGCTTCATGTTCAAAGGGCAGCTACTGCACGTTTCAAACACGAGCAAGGCTTCAAAGTTTTCAGAAGTAAAAACGCTCAGATTCCTCTCGAAAACTCTCCGTGGTTCGTTAGGAACACTGTCATCCATAATTCTTTAAAGATTTTACCATTAGATGCTGAATTAACTAAGATTACATTTAAATTCTACGAAAAATGTGATTCTTCCACTCACGAAGTTATTAAAAAATAGGGGAGTACGACTATCTAATCGAAACAGCCGCATAAACGGCCCAGAACTATACATCATAATGTTAGATGGTAGTTCTTGTATATATTTTATTATTTTCAACTATTTAATCTAGATTTTTTCATGTATCATCCTTTTCATCTTTTTAACGTACGTGTCAAATACGAATGTAAAAATTCAATTATGTAAACTACCACGGATTATTTTATGTTTTTTTTCATTATAATTCCTTTAAAAACGGCATAATGTGCATACACTATCTCAAATCTGTCTGATATCTGAGACCCGACGAAGGAGGCTTACCCGGATATTTACCGGCCTCAGGGCAAATACTCTCGACACACGAGTGCTATTGACGAATGAAGGGTTATTGTAATTGGCTATTTATCGCCGTACTGGTTATTTTTTGTTATCATACTTTTACGTATGTTGTAATTGCTATGTGAATGGGTTTGGGGAAGTTTTTACAAAATATTTACGACTCTTCTCTTTAGTGTTATAGTATAGTAGCAAGAACTTAAGATTATCATTATACATACGCGTGCATTAAAACTAATCAGTCTGCTCAAAAAATGCATTAGATATGTGATTTTACTCATGCATTATTTCTTCGTACATAGACAAATAGAAATATATATTTCTGGCATATATGTATATAATATTTGGAGTGTGCAGTAGTTTTTAAAATGCATGAAATTTATGAAATCAGATTGAAATCTGTGTTATATTTTATTATCTATTTAATGGAGAGATACTTATTACTTATTTATTACTGAATTTAATGGAGAGATACGTTTTATTATATTACGGTTTTTATTGTCAAGTGGAGTAATCTTTGAAATATTATAAAAACTGTATAATGGATTGTTTTGCTAAGCAAGTTTTTTCCGAACATTACGCTCTGTTAACTCTTTGTTGAATATGTCCACTGTATTATGAAAAGAAACCTGACATTGTATTAAAAACATATTTCCCTAAAAGATTTAAGGAAGGCAATTATTATTCATTTTCTCAAATATTTGTTTTTATATATTATGTAATGAATGTGGAATTTTTATGATTGCAACCTTTGAAATCAATCAAAAATAAATATTTAGGTCAAAAGAATTGTGTATGTAAAAAAACTTGTCCACATATATATTTTCATGTTAACAGAATTTGTTTTTATATATAATGAACAATTATGTCAGAGTTCATCAATGCAGAGATTCCGTGTTGATTTCTACAATATTTGTCCTTGCACAATCGTAAAACTGCATATTTGCAAAAAGTATAGATATATTTTCTTTGAAAATAAAAGTAAGACTGTTAAGTAGTGTCTTAGATATCAATTGTTTTATCTTTATTTACAAAATTAGGGCGTAATCGGCAGATTACTGAGAAAATTTAGATGACTAAAAACTAAAGAATTTTGAATGCGAAGAATGTTAGATAATTTTAGATATAGATTTTATTGCTTATTACTATATTTAACTACACTTATTATTGCAGCTTATGTAAAATTTACTGTTTCTGTTTAAAAAGTTGTTCTTTTTTACATCTTTTCACTTTTATGAAGAAAGTTGGAAAGCAGAATTATGGTGCAACATTTATTTCATATAATGCCTGCAGAAAAGTAGGACCAATTATGATGTAACAGGAAAAAACAGGAAACCAACAATTTTAAGGAAGTATCTGCAGATATCAATTTTAACAGCTAGGTATATTATCCTAAACATTAGTCAAAGTGTAACAAATTTTTAACTTTTTGACCCATTTGGGCACCTAAATTATAGACATAGTGATCTTATAGATTCAAATAATTAGATATTAATAAGTGGTCTTCAACCTGTCTCCTATATCTTGCACAACCAGATATTTCACAACTCACTTTACATTTTCACTGCCATCTCCTTTACAGTTTCCAATGGACTCATTTTTTTACACCGAATATACATGTACTTCTATCTACATAATCTATGTATTCATCATATGATTGTTTCTTTTATTTATGTTTTATTTCTTAAGAAATTGATATGATTTTAAAAAAGGACAACATTTATATTATAAGAAAATGATTTAATGAAGGTGACCCTTTTCTTTTTACAATGAAAAAGAGGACAAAAAGCGAACAAAGCAGGACATTTGCGTCTTCACAAAAACTTTTTTAAAGCAGTCACACGAACCGTAAAACGACTAAAATACAAATAAATTGTTGTTATTATTACTTCTACATCAATTGGCATGGCAGATGATACCATGTTTATTGCATTTGACAAAATATGTGTATTACAACCTATGCCTAGTGTTTTCTTTTAGAGTAAATCTGGTAATTTTTCATAGACATTATTTACTCCTTTTGCATCTTTTCCCACCAAAATTTGTATTTGTATTATCTGCTGTTAGTGCAACAACTTTATATTTCAAATTGTTTTCATTTATTACTCTGTATAGATGGTTCACCAAAATTTCTTCGCCCTCAATAGACTTTAAATTAAAAATTTTTATGTGAGTGCCATTGTTAACATTATAATATCTTACTAGTTATTGGATACAATTTTGTTTCATTATGATTCGATGCCTCAGATAAAACTGTTACAAATACTGCATTTTTCAAGTCTTCTGCAAGTATATTGTCACAATTATTATACTCAGAGTATAATAATTATACAGTGAAAGGAAATTTGTATTTGCATCAGATGTAAATGCGAACTATAATATTATAGACACATTAAAATAAACAAAGTAAAGTGCGCAAAAGTGTGAGGTGCATGACAAGTGTGGCTGCGTGATGTTTTGATATGCCCAGAATGTGCTTGTCTGTGCATTTTATAATCATGTTTTTTCGAACTGCACCATCACATGACCATTGACGTGTAACATTTCGAAGCAGCATCTTTAACTAATACAGAGATAAACAGATTAGTTGTAAAATATTGAAAAGGAAGACAGTTGGGAGGACACTTCTTGAAGAAGGACAGAGTCTACCAAAGGAGGACAATTGGTCTCCTTGCATGGTGGTTCACATGTAACATTCTTTTCATTGTTACCTCCTGGGGCATAGCTAGAGGGGAGTGAGGGTAGGACATCTGTCCCTTGGCCCCCCCCCAAGGGGAGCCAAACTGATGTTACTAAATTTTAAAATTAAATATTTTCCGTTCTTAGCAAACAAAAGGGGTGCGAAAACTTCAGCTGGGCACTGAAAACCTTACCTATGACTTTGGTTACATTATCAGCTTTAAGATTTTCCCCAGGCAGATTATTATAATTCTCATACTGTCTTCGGACTAGTTGTAAGACATTTTAGCTCTGTGTATTCCTAAGCATATTTCGTTTGTGATAAAATTTTCGTGGTGAATCATTTCCATAAGTTTCTTCAGAGTATCAGGTATGAGTCAACATTTCAGACATTAGCATCATATTCTGAAACATAAGCACAGAAGCTAACCATACAGAAATAAATGCCAATGATGATTTAATAGCTGTCCTTTTTTTTAAAAAAAAAAAAAAAAAGTATTCTATATAATATCCTTTAATAAAGGTTAGTTTTTCTATATAAATTCACCTTAGCTGCTTCATTACTTTTTACCATTTTGTCTTATTAAAGATTTTACAGCAGTGCTGTCTTTTTGCAAAGTGGAGATCTGTATTAAATTTCTATTTTTTTAGATATGTACTGTTAAATATAATTTAACAGAAATTCAATTATCCTTCATCCTCTCAACATCAGTTTTTACTATTCACTTATATATTCTGATGGACAGAATGAAACCCCCAAAAGGCGAAAAATAAAAATAAGTAATAATAAAAAAAGGATTTAAAATAAACCATATTGTGATAAATATGATTATTTTGTCATTTTATTTATAATAAAGGAATAAAATACTGTTTTAAAAACAAAACAGACTATGGAATAAAATTACATAGAAAAAAATTTCCATAAAAAATGACAAATGGTCAAATCAATAGTCATGTTTTTCCTGAATATATAAACCTTCATATCCAGCATGTAAAATTTTAATAGAAATTTCTATCCAGCAGTAAGAAATAGTATTGACCTAAAATGGCGAAGGATGAGTCATGTTAAAGATGTTTGATATTTATTGTATTTTGTGTAACGATTGTAAGTTATATATTTCTTAAATGCAACTTATATCATAAGAGCTTGCTTTTGTTTGCATAAAGGCACAAATCCACATACTATTGGAATTTCACTTTGTACATCCATTTTGATGTTTTCAATGAAAGCAAAAATACCAATCTGCAGTTTGAAAAATTAATCTGGCTATTTAATTATGATCTGTACATTACTTATAATAAGTATAACAAAAGTTAACATATAACACATATGAAATTTTATTATTGTACAAAATCTTTGGTAAAACAATTTTGGAAACTTCTGAAAGTTAACAGTAATTCTGAGAACATAAAAAAGCTTTATTATTGGGCATTAGTAATATGTAGTTATTTTCTTGTTTGAGCAATCTAAAAGCTATTAAA